GGAGAAGGTGCCCTCTCCCTCCATCCCTGCCCAGACCTCAGGCAGCCACAGAGCCCCTGGACTCAGAGTGAGGGTATACAAGGCTTTATTGGCTCAGTTGCAGGCATTTGGCATCGTGTGGGGCTCTTGGCTGCTCCTGGGATCTGCCTCCTCGGTCTTCTCTCGGTGGGTCTTCAGGGATCTCAGGGTGTGTCGTGCTTTGCCTTCTGCCAGCTCTTCGTCCATCAGAGGCCATCCTCTTTTGCAGATTCCACTCATGATCTCTGTGGGGGGCCTGAGGAAGAAGGGATTTGGCAGCAGCATCTCACCCTGGGCCCAGAGGATTCCCAAAAGGAGGGAAAACAGGCCTGTGTATGTGGGCCAGCCCTGCTGGGGGAAGGGGTACATGGTTAGGTGCCTTCAAGAGTCACAGTTTTGGTGGCTGCGACTGGGCACGCTATGGCTCTGGTGGCTTGGGTGACCTGAAAGGTTCTGCTGGCTTAGGTGACCTGAATGGCTCTGCTGGCTTGAGTGACATGAATGGTTCTGCTGGCTTGTGTGAACTGAATGGCTCTGGTGGCTTGGGTGACCTAGAAGACCTTGGTGACTTGAGAGGACTGGATGGTTCTGGTGGCTTGGATGACCTGGAAGACCTTGATGGCTTGGGTGGCCCAGATGACCCTGGTGGCTCGGGTAAACTAGATGACCATGTTGGCTTTTGTGGCCAGGACGACCCTGGTGGCCATGGTGACTGTGGCCACGGAAAGTGTGTGGGTTGTTGGCACCAGCGATGGTGTCTTCCCTCTGGGCGAGGAAATTCACTTTCAGCTTAATCTCCACCTCCTCAAGGGCCTTCAGTTCCTCTGGGGTGACATCCTTGGCCTCCAGGTGGCCTGAGTGCTGGTAAGCTGTAGCTCGCTGCAGCATAGAGTTAGCCAGGCGCTGCCCCTTCGTATCGATCTCCTTGGTACAAGCAACCACGGCAGCCCATATGGCCTCATCTGTGGATGAGGATTTTCCAGATTCTTTGAGGGTCTCTTTGATCACCGAAGGCCCACACATCTTCTGCTTGCTGGTGAAGGACTCCCTGTGCATAGCTGTGCCCTCCTCTCCTTGCTTGGTGGTAATAGTCTCCATGCGAATAGTGGTGTTGGCCTCTCCACTCCCACTCCCAAAGCATTGGGAGGCATTGTTGTTGACACCGACGCATTTGGTGGAGACCAGCTTCTCGTCAGAAAGGCGGCTAAAATGAGATTTGATCCAGTTGTCATTCGCTTTGCGGCATTCTGGTGACTCATTTCGTGGAGACTGAGTGGATGTCTTCCTTCTCCTTTTTCTCTGAGTCCACAGAATAAGGCCTCCGCCTCCAAGCAAGAGGATAGTTCCCAGCACCACCTTGCATGATGGTTGCTGGATGAACTCCAAGAAGGTCTCCAGGACCCTACTCCCAGCAGCAGAGCTAAGAGCACTGCTGAGCTAAGAGAAACAGTGGGGGAGCCCAGGTGGTATGGCTCATGCTTGAAAGAGCAGGCTCCCCACGGGCGTCTGGCAGGCAGGCCCTGCTGCACCCTCCCTAGGATGCCTCCTGCCACCTCAGCAATAAACCCCATTGTGAGGAAGGCAGCTGGGGGCGGGGTGGGGGGAGGCCACCACATCCCTCATGTCTAGCCTGGTAGGCATTGTTTAAGGCCTGGGTCCTTTCTCCTGTCCTGGCATCTGTCCTCAACGTCAGTGGAAAGGCAACTTTTCCGATGTAACCCATTCTGCGAGCTACCAGTCCTTATCTTCCAATCTTTGGTTTCTCTCCCTCCCCAGCTGTTGGCCCCCAGAGGGCAGAGGTTGCTTGGTCAGACTGGTCATGGTAGAAAGAACCCCTTGGCTAGGCTGGCATTCATTTTGGCCCACCGAGATTGGTGTCTGCCTCTATGCAGGGCTCATCTCTGCTGCCAGCTTAGCACATTCCATTCCTGATTGCAGCTCCATCCCCACTAATGGCAGAGTCCAGACGGAAAAGGGCCCAGGAAGGGGCTCATTCTGGAATAACGTGAGGTCACAAATGGGGGGAGACAAGCAGTGGACTGAGAAGGCAGAGCAGAGAGGAGACTTCATTGCGTCCCAGATTCTTGGGGCCATTATGGGTGGTGGGATGCCTTTTCCATAATTGCCTGCAAAATCCTGAATAATTCCCATGGCTTGTCAGGTAGAAACAGGACTGGGCCACACTCTATGCCCCACCCAAAGGCATCTAGCACATTTATAAAATGAAGAAATGCCAAAATGGGCTTGTAAAAGTTGTGACATTTTAAACAAACTATTTTCTTTAACAGAGTAATGGTCTTGATATATATAAAAATATTTTATCTTTCACAGGAAACCATGGTCCACTCTACTTATGGAGGGAATAAGATACAATCTTAAAGTTTTATAGGGAACATCATCTCCCCAGTTTTGCTAGAGTAGCTCTGTGGTTGTTCACTAACTTTAATTGGAAACAACAATTCAAAGTCCATCTTCAAAGTTGTTTACTGTGAGCTCAGGGTCAAATGGCTCTTCTGAACAACCCCTCCCTCCAGTCTCTGGTTATAACATTTATTTCAAAAGAAAACTCTGTATTCATATTTTCAGTACAAATTAGCAATGCTAAAAAAAAAAAAAAAGAGTTACATAGTTTCCAATAGGACCTTCCAGAAGAATCTCTAACTAATGTTCATGACACATCCAGGCCAAGTTCCCACCTTCTCTCTCTTTCTTTTTAAATCTTTTTTTTTTTAATTGTAGATGAACACAATACCTTCATTTACTTATTTTTATGGGGTGCTAAGGGTCAAACCCAGTGCCTCACACTTGCTTGGCAAGCGCTCAACCACTGAGCCATAGCCCCAGCTCCTCCCACCTTCTCTTTAGAGGGCTTTGTTGAAGACGCCTTACAGTGTGACAAGTGATGGCTGCCTGTTCTGCCCCTTTCATATTGAACTGCAAAGTCTATTCCAGAACAGGGCAAGGGAAACTAAGGCTTACATGGTCTTGTCCTGGGAGCAGTGACAAGACACTTCAGCTTTGTGTTCCCTGTTCCAGTGCTCCATGGTAGAAGAATATGTTGAACCCTGTGACCAAGAACCTGAAGGCTCAGCTCCCAGTTCTAAAATGAGGAAACTGGACTAGAGAAATTAAGTGATTTCTCAAGTCTCTGTAATGGCCAGAGCATGAGTCCCTCCCAGGGCTTCTACCTCCAGACCCTGGACTCCCTCTCCCTCAGGCTCTGTCTCCCTGGAAAGGGGCTGAGGGGCATCCAACAGGAGCAGAAGCCTGTATGCCATATTCACTGAAGCCAGGGCACCCATTCCTGCTGTGAGAATGGGTGGGTCGATGGAAGGGAGGGTCCAGAGGAGAGCTGTAGGGTTCTCATAGTCTGTGGGTTCTCTGGGTGGCAGGCAGACACCAGATGTAAAATCCACCCTCCCAGCCTTGAACCTTGAAGCTGAAGCACAGTCATCTGTTAGAGGCTGAGGAACTTCCTGCTTTGCTTCAAGGGAATCAGACACAGCCCAACTTGCAGTTCTCTGTGAATAAGCCCCAGCATATATTTACCTAGAGTTGGTATCCCTGCTCAATGTGGGCATCCACAAAGCACTTGTTGTCCCCTGGGGAAGGGTCACATCACCTCTGCCCTTAGCAATGAATGGAGTCTCAGTTGGGCCACTGGACACCGTCACAAAGCAACTTTGCCAATCACACTGCTATTTTAATAATCATCATCATAGAAATCAATGCATTCTCATGTCTAGCACCCTACAGTTTACAACATGCTTTCACTTGTATTCTCTCAGATTTTTCTCCCAACCATGCCATGATATGTGTATTATCACTCGCCTGTATCAGATGCAGAAACAGAGATTTAGAGAGATTATCCCATAGTAAGTCAATGGCAAAGCTGTGATTGGAAACCAGAGTCCTTGGTCTTAACTGTTACTCTGTACTCCTTTTCTATTGATACCGGGGATTAAACCCAAGGCTGCTCTACAACTGAGCCACATCCCCAGCCCTTTTTATTTTTTAATATATTTTTTAGTTGTTGATGGACATTTATTTATATACTTGTTTATATGTGGCGCTGAGATTCGAACCCAGTGCCTCACACATGCTAGGCAAGTGCTCTACCACTGAGCCACAACCCCAGTCCCTCTTTTTCTTTTTTGAGACAGGGTCTCACTAAGTGGCCCAGCAGGCCTTGAACTTGTGATCCTCCTGCCTCAGGCTCTCTAGTTGTGGGCATTCTAGGGATGTGCAGTTATGCCTGATTGGTGCCACACCATTCCCAAAGCTGGTGCCCACCAGATGCCACTTGTTGAGAAAGTCTGGTCTAGTGACTTAGAAGGGGTGATGGGGTGAGTAGAAAGAAATGGAGCATGGGCCGCGCAGTTAGAGACAATTCAAATCCCAGCCCAGCTATATCAGCTGAGTGATCTTGGGCAGTGACCATGTCTCTGAGCCCCAGCTTCCCATGTATGACACAGTGCTACTGAGAGTACTGTCCAGGGATTGCCCTGGGAGATGGATGGGCAGCTGGGCAGGGCAGCCAGGTTTTGCTATTTTGTTCTACTTCCACTTATGCCACTGTAGCTGTGTGGCATGTTGAATGTCACAAATATGATCTGATCCTTGATCTCAGAGAAGAGGAGACCAATGTAAAGGGGGAGATGAGTCAGAGGAAATAGCACAGTGAGCACTAACTCTTGCCAAGGGAGGCTTTGCCCAGAAGAGAATGTGCAAACAGGCTTTGAGGAGAAGGAGACGCGCCTCCTGGCTGGGCTGCCACATGATCTTCCTTACATCAGCACATGGGGCCCAGTTGACAAGGACGTTCTCACCTGTCATCCAGTGTAATCCCCACAAGAGCCCTGGGAGCTACCAAGGAACTTCAGTCCTTTTCGGTGCCTCTGTACAGAGGCAGGCGAGGTTCAGAACCCACCTACACCCCTGGTCTCTGGCTCCCCACCCCCACAGTGGACAGGCCTGCTTACCTCGGAAGGGGATGGTGCCCATTTTGTACAGGTTCTCCTCCAGCTTCCCATAGTCCACCTCTGCGGTGGCAGTGAAGGGGGTCGTCACAGGGGGATAGATGCCTGCAATGTCCACCTTCCTCCCATCCCCTGAGGCCCAGCCCTTCACATTCCTGGATAGGCCCCTGCTCAGCCCCTGTTTCACAGAGGCCCAGACCCGGGGGCCCAGCATCTCCATAGGAGGCCTGGGGCCCAGCTGTGCTACAGCCCTGAGCAAGGCTGAGTTTAGACTCCTTTCTACCTGCTATTAATGATTAATGGGTCTAGTTAAAAATTTGTGGCCTCTCCTGCCTTGTGGGCACTGGACAGTCTGAGGGTCTTGCCCTACCTAGGGTAAAGGGCAATACCCTCAGGTTTCAGAGAGCCTTTTATCTCTGCTGGGGAGCAGCTGGAGAAATGTCACAGTGCCCCTCTGACTGCCCTGGGTCCCACTAAAGGGCGTCTCTAGCCCATCCTCCTCCATAATTCCCAGCCCTGAAGCCTGGAGGGAGCGCTGCCAGTTTCCAGGCAGTTTCGAGGCTAGTGGAGCTGATTGGCTGAGCTGGCCAGGCCCTGCCCTGGGGGAGGGAGGTGCCACACACCAAGTGAGAAGCTTCCGGTAACAAGCGGCCTCACTCCCCTGCCAGGCTCCTCCTGCCAAGGAGGCCCTGTGTCAGGCCTGTGCTGGCTGTACACAGCTCCACAGGACAGAAGTCACCAGGAAAGGGCCAGGATGAGCATATCAAAGAGCTGACCTGTGCATGGGCAAAGCCTGACTCCCAGGGATTTGGGAAGAGGCAGAAAAACAGGGTGACAGGATAGAAGCACGGAGAATCCACAGTCTGTATTCCCCAATATTTTGAACACAAATGGAAACAAACATCACAAATAGCAAAATGAACTTTTTTATTGTAATCATTGGTGAGTGCTCCCGAATTATGCAGGAGGTGGCTGGGTCCTCAGTTAGCTCTTGGGGCCATTCTGTGACCATCTGGCTGCACAAGGGAGGAGCCAGGTGCCTGGCTGGGCTGTGGCAGCCATTTATTGGGCTGGCACAGGCTGGGGAGTCTGGCGCCCACTCCCAGGCCCCTCTAGCCCGTTCTGCTCTGAGCCAGGCTCCGGGTGTTCCAGGGCGTGCCGGGTGTCTGCCTGCCATAACTGCACCAGGTCCGTGGGGGTCTTTCCTGCCTGGGGAGGACCACGAGGAGAGCTGTTCACTGTTTGGAAGTCTGCCAAAAGGTGCCCTCAGCTATATCAGTGGTTCTCAACTGGGGCCACTGGACACAGTGAAGATATTTCAGTGGTCACAACTGGGAGAGTGGGGACTTCTGGTATCTAGTGGGCAGAGGCCAGGGACACTGCTTAAACTCCTTCCATGCCTAGAATAGTCCCCCGACAACAAATTACCCAGCCCCAAATGTCAATAGTACTGAGGTTGAGAAACATCCATACCTTCTCCATATCTTCCTTCTTATAACCTCTTAGTCTTCCCTGTATCAAAGGGACCCTCCTATGCCCCTCTATATTTGATTGTTCTGGGCCCCATAGAAGATGCATTTCTGAGGGTCAAAGTCCAGACTCTTGGATCTTCATCCACCCTCATTAAACTCAAGGACCACCAGAAACCAGCACAGTGTGCTAGGAATGGAGGGGCCAAGCAAATGCTTAAGTTCCTTTCAGCTCTCTCCTCTGTGACCTTGGTCCTCCTGGGGCCTGCATGTGAGAATGTCCTGTGGACTACTGGGGACCTTTGGGAAGTCTTTTTACTGTTTCTCTTGTCCTCTAGATTCTGCCGCATAGAGAGGGGAAAGTGGTAGTTGGAATGGCATTCTGAAAAGGACATCTTCAGGTACTGTACCAATGACCAGAACCAATGATCTGTATCCCTAGGCTGGGACTGCCCCAGGGTCCCCACAGACCCTCCACTGTGCAGGTGCTCAGCCCAATCACTGACTCAGGGAAGGAAGGGACTTACCAGGTTCTTGCACATCATATCAGCTCCATGCAGGATCAGCAGTTTGATGATTTTGTAGCGGTTGAGCCTCACAGCATCATGTAGGGCACTGTCCCCTTCCTAGAAACAGTGTAGCACTCAGCATGACCCTTGGGGAGGGGCAGCAGATGGGGAGCAGGGTGACAGAAGGTGGGCTGGAGACCCTACTCAGGAGCCACAGTCTGGAGGGTTCCCGAGGGCCACTCGCCTGGAGGAATGCATGAGCTGCCCACCTAGCCATGGTGGGGCAAGCCAGCGGGAGGCCAGCACTCACTCTGTCTCTGGCATTGATGTCCAAGCCCAGGGATAGGAAGTGTTCCACAATCTCCACGTGCCCCGTGCGGACCGCCACGTGCAAGGGAGTGCTCAGCAGCTGCATGGGAGGAAGCAGGACATGCTGGCTAAGGGGCCTGGACTGTGATGTCCAGGGGTTGACGGTTATACTGATTCTAGCTTGAGCCCTCCCCCATGTCCTAGTGCCAAGGCCTGAGCCCTGGAAGGGCAGGCAATGAAACAGTTTCCCACCATCCTATCCAATAGTCCAATTCTAAAGCCTTACATGCCACCTCCTCTAAAAACGATCTCTGATTCTCCTCTCGCTGAGCTGTGGGCAACCATTCACTCCTCCACTCTTATTATTTATTTATTTATTATTATTTTGCAGTACTGGGGATTCAAACCAGGGCCTTGAACACGCTAGACAAGCACTGTACTGCTGAGTCTGTCCTCAGCTCACTCTTCTTCAAATACTTATAAAGATGCCACTTGTTGGGAGATGATTGTGTGGTAGGCATGGCAGAAACTTACAAAGCATTAGCTGTATATTGAATAAATAATTCACTTACATATATTTGCCCACCTAATCTACACAAGAACCCTTTTACAGATGAGGAAGAGAGGCTCAGAGGTCCAGTTACTTGTTCCAGTTACCAGTGAAGGGACAAATGAATGGAAGGAGGGTAGATTAACAAATAAACGAAAAGACGAATAAATGGATGGATGGATGGATAAACAAATAGAAGAGTGATGAAGGATGGCATGGGATAACAAATCCCAAGTCTCCTGTACTCCCTTCTTCTCTACTCTTTGGTCTCCATCCCTAGATGTGGTCCCTCAAGGGGCAACTGCTCTGAGGCCACTCTAGAAACTAGACAAGTTCACTACTTTTCTGCCACTTGCCCTTTGCCCCCTGCCCTCTTCCCTGCAGTCACCCCAGCATCTACTGCACCTGAGCACTGCTGCCGTACCTTATCCCGCACATTGGTGTCTGCTCCTCGGCTTTGCAGGAGTTTCACCACCTCCAAGTGGCCTCCGCGGCAGGCCCAATGCATGGCTGTGCAGTCCAGCTAGAAGGGGAGGATGGGGCTTAATTGTAGAGCTGCAGGGAAGAAATGTCTTGGGAGAAAGAACCTCAGCCAAGAAAGTGGAGGGACATCCAGGGGAAAGGTACAGAGAGTGGGCAGAGACACTGTGGGCAGTGGAACAGAAGAGCCCTTAGGGCCCATCTAGTCCAAGCCAGTTAGGAAGGAGATGGACTCGCCCAATGCCATACAACCTACCAGAGGTGGCACCAGGCCCCTGAGCCCCGCTATTGTGTCCCAGCTTGGCTTCCATTGTCAGGGAGAGGAGGTCTATTGGTATAGGACCAGCTCTTGCTTCCCTTACCCCCAATACCCACCCTCTCACTCACCCGGTCCTGGAAGTCCACGGTGGCCCCACTTTCCAGAAGCTTCTCTAATATCTCCATGTGGCCCTCCAGGGAAGCTCTGTGCAGTGCTGTCCGACGGAACTGTCCCCAGAGAGGCTGTGAGGCCTTGGCCTCTGGCCCACCTCCCACCCAGACTGAGGCCTAGGCTCTGCTGCAACTCAATTCCGACCCCCTATGCTCAGTCCCCTTCTCCCCCCACTCCCGTGATTTGTAGCTCTTCTCCAGATCAGCCTTAGAGCCCCTGCCCTTCTCACCCTTGGAGATTGACCTTCTTGCTGGCCCCAGCATATCCTATACCTTTGCAGGGGCCAGTCCCTCTGCTGGGAATGTCTGTTTTGCCCTCACTTTCCCTGATGAAAATCCGCTACTCCTTCAAAATATGGCTCATGTGCCATTATTTCCTTTGAACCTCTAGGCAGAGTTGCCTCTAGGCTCAGCTGACCCTTGACCTTGAGCATTGGAGGGTAGATGGAGTCTCGCTGGACTCCATTTCCCAAAAGTGCTGAGCACAGTGTTGGAGGGTAGGTTGCCCTGGTTACAATTCAGGGAAGGAAAGGACTTCCTCCCTCCTGTGCAGCCACTTTCCTCTTTGGACTTTGAAATACTGGGGCCATGCATGACTTTCCATATGCTAAGATCCAGTTCTGGGCACTCTTCCGCCACTCTCAACACTTGTTTTTTTTTTCTTTCTTTCTTTCTTTTTTTTTTTTTTTTTTTTTTTTTTTGTATTCCAAGCACCTGGTAGATAGGAGGTGCTTGGACAGACAAAAAGGATTAAGACCCTAGAGGCTAAAGAACAGAAAACACATGTTAAAATCTATAGTAATGCAGACCAAGGGTAGGTGACCATTAATGCTTAGTCCCAGTATATGAGAATAAGGGGACCCTTATGAAGTATAAAGAGGCAGCTTCAAGGAAAACAAAAATAAGCATGACGGGTGATGGAAACATTTTTAAAATAGATGGGAGGCGGGTGCAGTGGCACCTGCCTGTAATCCCAGCTGCTTGGGAAGCTGAAGCAGGAGGATTATAAATTTGAGGCCAGCCTGGACAATTTAGGGACACTCGGTCTCAAAATACAATTTTAAAAGAGGTAGGACCAAGCATGGTGGTGCATGACTCTAGTCCCAGAGACTTGGGAGGCTGAGGCAGGAGAATTTTCAGTTTGAGGCAATTTAGTGAGACTCTTGTCTCAAAATTTAAAAATTAAAAGAAAAAAAAAAGACTGGGAGTGTAGCTCAGTAGTAGAGTGTCCCTAGGTTCAATTCTCAGCACCACAAATTAATTCATTAATTTAACTTAATGAAAAAGAGCTAGAGATATAGCTGGCTGGTAAAGTGCCCCTAGGTTCAACCTTCAGTACTATAGAAATACAAAGAGATGTTGGTGATGTTTGCACAGCTTTTTAAGTGTAATTAATGCCACTGAAGTTAGACGTTAAAATGGCATATTTCATGTTATATTTTAACCCAATAAAATAATGCAAATAGGGGCTGGGGACATGGCTCGTTGGTAGAGCACCTGCCTAGCATGCACCAGGCCTTGGGTTCGATCCACAGTATCACACATGCAAAACATAATTTTTAAAAGGCAGCATGAGATTATACCATAAGAAACAAAAATGCCATATCTTAGTATGGGCTTTATAGTTTTTTTCATTAATCCAATTAATATTTATGGAGGTGCAAATATTTCATTTGATCATAATATGTGACACAAGTAGGCCAAATTTCAGCAGAGGAAGTGGAGGCCTGGAGAGGTGGAAGTGACCAGCCACAGATCTCAAAGCTAGGGAGTGGCAGACATGGGATTTACCCCCATATCTCCTTCTTCTGAGCTCTTTTTATTTGATGCCATTCCTCCACCTTCCCTAGAGAAATACGTGGCATAAGTTACTTTGCAGGTGTTTATAGTTGGGGAAAGATCTAACAAGGATTTAGGTAAATTCTTGGGTGAGGAAGAGAACATCCTATTYTGGGCACTCCTTAACCCACCCCCAAAACGCCCATGGCTGTTCTCAAACAGGCMCACAAATGGGCTGAACCAAGGTCTGGGCAGGATGAGCTAGGCAGGTGCAGGTGTAGGGGTGGAGACTTCACCTCATCGCAGGAGTCAGCTGAACCCCCATCTGCAAGGAACTTCTCAATGACCTTCATTTTCCCCTCCACTGCTGCTTTCAGGAATGTCTCCTTATCCACGGGGCCGGTCTGCAGGGTGAGAGTCCCGTCACGGAGGGTGGTCCATGTGATCCGGGCCTCCCTGCTTTCCCCTGCCCAGAGATGGCCTCCCCAGAACCCTTACGATCTCCTCTGGCTCTGGAGGCGGCTCATGGGCTGCAGCCAAGGCTTCCCGCTTCTTCTGCTTGCGTTTTTTCCGCAGCTCGATGAGGTTCTGGATCCCGCCCACATCGATGATCTCCCGCCGCAGGTCCAGGGATGTCTTACGCACGCGCTCTTGGCCCTGAGTTTTGATGACCCATCAACCCACACTGGAATTTAGAGGCGGGGCAGGGGTTGAGGTCCCGTGGGATAAACTGGAGATGGGGGTGGCGTGTGTAGGGAGACCTTCTAGAGAGAAGGAACCAAGCAAGGTCCAATTCTCCTTCCAGGACAGGATGGCAAAGATGCGGGGAAGGCAGGGAAGGGGAGTCTGATTAGTCAGGTCTAGTGGGGCTGAATGTCTGCATTGCTCACGTGCTTCCAGGAGCTCTGAGCTGCTGGTCCAGGGACCGCGGGAGGAGAGAAGGAACCCTGGCCATGCATGCGTGGCTGAGCGCAGATGTTGGGGTCTCCCACACTTACCTTAACCTTTTGCAAAGCCAGATTCTGGGCACCGAGGTGCTTCTCGTCCTCTAGCACCAGCATGTCCATGGGCAGCTTCCCCTGGGCGGCTCCCCGCAGTTTCTGGTGAGTCAAGAGAGTACCTTCTCCAGAACCTCGAGGCGAGGGGGAGGTTTGGGGGAGCCAGTATCCACTCCCCCAACCACCCCAAGGTCATACTAACAATGACTCCCGTGTGACCTCAGAACCCAGGCAAGAACAAGGCTCCTAGAGAAGTACCCAGAAGGGGGCTCGTTCCACAATTCCTCATCTCAGGCTCAGTCCCAACCCCTGGCTCAAACACCTGCTTCCCAAACAAGACTGAAGGCCCCTGCAATGAGTTTTTATGAAGTTAAATATATAGATGTTTCTTGATATCCACAGGGGATTAGTTCTATGGCTCATTGCAATACCAAAATCTGCAGATGCTCAGGCCCCTTGTATAAAAAGGCATAGTATTTGCATATAACCTCCACACATTCTCCAGTATACTTTAAATCATTTCCAGATTGTTTACAATACCCAATGCAGTATAAATGCTATATAAACAGTTGTTACACTTTATTGTTTAGGAAACAATGACAGGAAAAAAATCTGTGCATGTTCAGTACAGATACAATCTTTTCCCCCAAATATTTTGCAAATGTGACTGATCTAATCCACAGAAGCAGAAGCCAAGGATTCAGAAGTTCTAAATGCATTCACTTTTTAAAAAAATTTTGGCATTAAAAATTCACATTGAGGGCTGGGGATATGGCTTAGTTGGTAGAGTGCTTGCCTTGCATGCACAAGGCCCTGAGTTCAATCCTCAGCACCCCCACACACAAAATCACATTGAGTGGGGCATGGAGGTGAACATATGTAATCTCAGTGACTTAGGAGCCTGAAGCAGGACAATCACAAATTTGAGACAAACGTCAGCAACTTAGTGAGATCCTGCCTCTAAAAAAAAAGGACAGGAAAGTAAATCAGTATTAAAGCACCCTTGAGTTCAATCTCCAGTCCCCCCCCCCAAAAAAAATCATATTGATGAGAAAATTGTGATCTGAAATGGTAGTTTTTAAATTATTTTTTTCAGTGCTGCGGAGCAAACCCAGGACCTCATGTATGCTAGCTGAATGCTCTACCACTAAAATTCATTTCTGGTCCTTTTAATTTTGTATTTTTGAGACAGGGTCCCTCTAAGTTGCCCAAACTGGCTTCGAACTTGTCACCCTTTGCCTCAGCCTCCTTAGTAGCTGCAATTATAGGCATGCACCACTGTTCCCAACTGCTATTTTATTTTACTTTATTTTTAAGTGGACTTCTTGACAACATAAAACTTTGGCAGTTTTATTAGACATTGACTTTTGCCCCAAAAGCTTGGAAACTATTGCTCTCAGGGGAACTAAGGGATGGGAGCAGCTTCTCAGCTTTCAGGCTGAGGTGGATCCTGAGCAGTCACTGTATTCTCACTGTAATAATGGTTCATCTCCCTTCCAGGTCTTCTCTCCACTTGTAACTCTGTTTTTCAAGAGTTCTCTTTACTCCTTGTGAAGTGCTGGCACCCCATCCCTGGAGCCCCCAAGCCCATGTATTTGTGTAGATGCCAGCTCAGAAACCTCTGCCCAGGTTGGAGGGTGCTGARGCTGGAGGGCAGCTGAGGGGACTGGTACCTTCATGGTGCCCAGCTGCATTTCTCATTTCTCACTGAGTCCTAAAGTTAGCCTCTTCCAAGGTAGATTGGAGGGCTTATTTCCCAGGTCTCCTATTTGAACTAAACTCAGGGCTTCATGTAGACTAGGCAAGTGCTTTACCATTGAGCTTCATCCCCCATCGCCAGTTCCCCAGGTCTCCATTTTGAAGGTCCTGTCAACTACTGCCTTCTCTCTTTCTTGTYGGGCTTACATGGCTTGGGGTCTCCCCAGTGCTGGCCTCACTTGAAACACTGCATCTTCTTCCAGGGATAAGAGATGACTTGGGACTGCAGCTACTGCTGCATGTGGGACTCTGGCTGGGCTCCGCAAGGAACATCCAGAGGGCGGGCTTGTGGCTTAATCATCTTAGTATCCCCAGCACCTGTGACAGGCCTAACACATTGTAGGTGCTCAGAGAATTTATAGTGAATGAACAAAGGCATGAGTGAATGGATAACGGGAGGCGGGCTCAGCATCTCTGCCTATCTCTGGCCCAGAAAGCTCCCACAAGAGAGATCCAGCAGCTCCTGAGACCTCCTCACACTATTGGAAGGGGGCATGGGCTAACCAGAAGCTCTCTGTGAAAACCCTGCTGAGCTGGAGCCTGCTGGGAACAAATATGGACTCTAATGCCACCCACGTCTTACTCATAGCCCTTCGGTTCAGGTTCAGCCTTGTGGGCTGTGAAATAGGTGCTCCCATCTTACCTCACAGATGGTTGTGCATATTAAATGAAAGAATGTCTCTAAGTGCCTGGCAAGAGTGGGCACTGGATGGGGAGGTTGGCTCTGAGGGCACCAGGTGTCCTGATAGCCCTGCAGCTATATTTGTTAGATGAATGAATGGAAGAGTACTGCTCTGTGTCCCCTTGCTGAAGATTCCTGTGTCCAGTGGCAGCACTCCAGAAATGACACAGCAGCATCACTCCCCTCCCTGGCACTGACCAGCSATGTGCACACGCCCTTAGGTGAATGAGAAGTTGGATTCCTGGAGATCCAGGGATGCCCTTCTTCCCTTGAGTTCTGACCCTTTTTCTTTTTCTTACTCCTCATTCAGCCACACTTCCTTTTGTGAATGGTGTGTTCCTCTGAACTGATCTATTATCTCCTCCTGAGGGGGAGGGTGTGCTGGGGATTGCACCTAGGGGTACTTTACCACTGAGCTACATCCTTAGTATTTTTCTTTTACTTTCCTTTCCTTTTCTTTTTTTTTTTCTTTTGAGATAGGATCTCACTAAGTTGCTGAAGGTCTCAGATTTACAATCCTCCTGCCTCAGCCTCCCAGGTGGCTGGGTTACAGGCACATGCTATGATACCCAGCTATCTCCTCCTTTCCATTCCTGTTAGAACCAGCCTTTCTCCATCCTACAAGTCCTTCTCAGGGCCATCAGAGCTTCCTTACTGAAATAGGTCAGAAGGCACCACTCTCTACTCAACAACACTTAGTGGCTTCCCATTGCCCACAGAATAATGGCTTTCTCTGATTTGTCCTGTCTCCCTTTCTGGCCTTAGCCCTTCCTACCAGACTTTCTCATTAGTTACACTTTCTCTTATGGATACTTTAGGTACTGTCATTTCCTTGGCCTGGAATATTCTCCCCAGTCCTGATCTCCACTTACCACTCTTGAAGGTCCAACTCTAATATCATCCATCCCACAGAGTAGTCCTTGAAGGCCCCCAGATGGAATGACCCACCCACCCTTTGTGCTTCTTCACTACTGATCCACATCTCCATTTAACCATTTCTACTTGACTATGAAACTGAGAAATGTTGGCTGAAATGAATGAAGAGTTGGTGAAAAGAAGGTAGGGTCTGGGCTTTATTGGTCCTTCCATTCCTCTCAGCATCAGACTCTTGGCAGAGCAGACACTAGGCCAAGTGTTAGTTTAAATAAAATTTAGACAAACTGGGGGTGGTGCACAAACCTGTAATCCCATTGACTTGGAAGGCTGAGACAAGAGAATCATAAATTCAATGCCAACCCAGGCATCGTAGTGAGACTGTGTCTCACATAAAATAAAAAGGGCTGGAGATACACCTCAGCTCAGTGGTAAAGTGTCCCTGGGTTTAATCCTCAGTATAAAAAAATAAGCAAACAAATAAATAAATGATTTAGAGTATGACAAGACTGCACTTCTGTCCCCTTCCTTATCCTAGAGGAAATGCAATTGTGCCACCAAGGACTCCCCACATGTGGCTGCAGTACTGGGAAAATCAATGCTTCCTTTCCCATGATCCCTTCATCGCTTGGTACCATTTATAAGTGTGTTGSGGGGAGGGTACTGGGAATTGAAACCAGGGCATTGTGCATGCTAGGCAAGCACTCTACYGCAGCTACATCCCCAGTCCTTTTTATTTGAGGCAGGATCTCATTATGTCACCCAGGCTGGCCTTGAACATTCTATCCTCCTGCCTCAGCCTCCTGGATAGCTGGGATTACAGGCAGGCACCACTATGCTGAGGCACAGTCCCAGTCTTTATTCCCTGTAGTGACCCAACTTCAGGAAGTTGCTCCTTCCCAGCCTCCCAGAAGCAGCGGGGGGTTCTCAGGGCCACAAATCCTGAGGTTCCCAGGCAGTGCCCACTGTTTGCCCTGTACAGCCTGGCAGGTCTCCTGAAACCCAGTTGGGTGGAAAGGGTCTTGGGAAGCTTGTCTTGGCTCCCATGGACCACTACTCTGTTTTGGGGACTGAAGCCTCAGTCTCTCATCACCAGCAACCCTCTCTGCCAGGAATGCGGCTAGCAGGGCTCTTGGGGATACTTGTCACCCACCCCACCACCACAGGTACAACGGCCAGGCTCTTCCTTCTCATGACAGAAGAGATGGATGTCCCCACACTCTGTCAGGCCACCACGCCCCTGTTCCCACCTCACTCTCCTCCTCCTGTGCCAGCCGCTGCTCGATGAGTGCCGTGGCCCTCTGCACCGCCTCGGAGCTCTCCAGTGGGCCCTCCATGGTGCCGTCCATAACTGCCTCCCTCTGCAGGCAGAAGGCACTGGGGGCTATATAGGCCAGAGAGCTCGTGCCCGCCCTCTGGGTGCCTTTGTCATGAGCTCACTGGCCCAATTCTTCACCTGCCTCCCCCACCTGTCACCTTCACCTCAGGCAGCCCCAGGGAGCAGGGGGAGCCAGGACAGGGAGCAAAGTAGCCCCGCCCCCAACTACTGGCATACTAGAGCYGAGGGCACAGTGCCTCAAGGGTAGGGGAGCAGGGAGGAGCCTGTTCAGGCTGCCTGGAAGCTCGAGTCCCAGCCAGGCAAACGGGTTACACAAAGCACCTGCTGGCTGCTTCCTCTGGCTGGTTGGCAGTGCCACCTGCTGGATGCTTAGAAACCCTGCCCAACTAGTGCCAGTGTGGGGCCTGAAAACCTGTGTCAGTGTTCACAGGGGTACCCATGACAGGCCYGTGCCCCAGGCTGCCTGTGAACAGGTCCTGCCAGCCGTGGGGAGAGGTAGACTCCAGACTGCCTTGTCCAGCCTGGGGTACCAGGACAGCAGAGGGAGTCAGGGCAGCCGGCCAACTCCCTCTGATCATGGCTCCTGGGGCTCAGCCTCTCTGGGGCCCCACAGCACCCCCTAGCGAAGCATCACTGCATGGGACCATGTCCATTAGTCACAGAGAGATCTTGGATCTGCCTCCCACAGGGACGGACCTCTGCAGGAATTACAGGGTTGTTTCAAGACAAGGATCTTGGGAAGCCAGAGTGCAGTGCCAAAGCCAGCTGACAARGAGCACCAGACAATGCCGGGCTATCTTGACCAGGGGCCAGCCATGCTCACTGCGAACAAAGAATACTCCCAGCTGGAGAGAAAGCARACCTGCACTCACCCGGTTCCTCACTGGAACTTGTGGGACGAGCCCTGGGTCATCCTGACACACAAGGAAATGGTTCCCTTTTCTCTCTGGTTCACTAAACCCTGACCTATGCTCATCATCTAAATTTGTCAGAAATCCTGCTTTGACACCCACTCGGGCAGCATTGGCTGGACTTCCACACACACCTTGATCACGAGGGCCTGGCCTGTGAGACCAGAGCCTAGAGCCAGCCCATTCCTACAGGAGGGGCAGACCAGCAGCAACTAATGCCACCTTCCTAGGTGCTGCTTCACTGTCAAGGCACTGTCACATTGGCTCTCCCACTTAACCCTCACAGCAACTGCAGGCAGAGTCACCTCCACCTTAGAGAAAAGCCACGTGGGTTCGGAGGTTAAGACCTCCAAGAATACAAGAGGAACTGAAATTAGGGCCCAGAAGATAGCAGCTCTGGTCTGTGTGCTCTGCTGTGCCTGGACAGCCTCGGAGGCCATGCCCACCTGTTCCCACAGAAGCAGGATCTGCAGAACTCAAAGTTGAATGCCAGGCAAAAGAGGAGGAGCCAAAGGCTTTATTGATAAATATGCACATATGTCTGTACATGAGGACCTGCTGAGGAGGCCATGACCAGGCTGCAGACCCACCACCACTTGAGTTACAGCCAGGAAATGGCCCCGTGCAGACCCCTGCCACAAAGCCCAACCATCCAGCCCCCTGCCTCACCTCTGCCGATTGTGCTGGAGGCAGGGAGAGGCAGAGGCCCGCCTGCCTCAGGCTCCCCAAGCCCTGGGACTCACTGGTGGTTCCCTCCTCCCAAGGGGACTGGCACTGTGCCCAGGGAAAAGTCAGGGTGGGAGCGGAGGAGGGAGACAGCAGCTGCTTCCCGACCCTGAGCAGAAAACCAGAGTGAGCACAGCGCAGCACCGGATGACAGATCTGGGCCTCAGGGCCTCCAGGCTGGCCCCTGTGGCTCCAACCTGCTTCAGGAGAGATGCAGGGTGGAGGGCCCCAGTCGCCTTTTCTYTGACAAGGTTGGCAAGGCCTGTGTGTGGCAGCATTGTTCCCTGGRTGCTGGGCACTGGTGGCCCACAGTGCCCCTGGGAGGCAGGGTCCCTTCACGGCTCACCCAGAGCCATAGAGCGGGGAGATGCCCTTAAAGAAAACAACAGCACTTGAAGGCAGCAGCAGGGTGGGGGGCCTCGTGCTCCAGGCCAGCTGCTCAGCCCTGCAGAGGCCCTCCATGGCCTCTCTTCCCAGGAGTCCACGGGCCCATCAGTCCTGGGGTGGTGGGGGCTGGTTGATGATGACCTGGATGACAAAATCTTTCTGGATCTTTGTTTCCTGGAGCCGTGTGCGGTCTGTGAGCAGCTTTCCAGAGAAGAACCACCGCTGCCAGGATGGTTCGATGCCTTCCTGGGTATGCAGCTGCCTCTTGAGCTGCCCCACTGTGTCAGGCAGGCTGGCGCTGAGCCTCACGTCCTTGCCCGTGGAGAGGCGCACCTTCAGTGGGAACTCACGGCGCACACTGGGGACAGGCTCGGGGGGCTCCAGACTCTCCTCCTCAGTGTGCTCCAGCAGCAGGTTCACGGGTGGTGACAGGCAGTAGATGGGCAGCTGGTAACGATTGCCCAGCTCGTCATAGCATTCACAGAGGGTGCCTGTGGGAAACACAGGGTGGTCAGTGTTCACCTGGGGATGTTGTCATTCACTGAATGCTTGAGTTCCTGAAAATTAATGTTAAAGCCCTAACACCCCAGTGTAACTTTMTGGAGATGAGACATCTATGAAAACAATCAAGGTTAAATCAATCATAACGGTGAGGCTTAATCCATAGGATTACTATCCTTATGAGATGCCAGAGAGCTCTCCTCCTTTCTCTCTTCCCAGCATGTGAAGACACAGCAAGAAGCTGGCCATCTGCAAAATAAGAAGAGAACCCTCACCAAAAACTAAATCAGTCGTCACCCTCATCTTGGAYTTCCAGCCTCCAGAACTGTAAGAAACAGATTTCTGTTTTTGAAGGCACCCAGTCTGTGGAACTTTGTAATAGCAATCTAAGCAGATTAATCCAGCCACCATGGCTGCCCCACAGTCCCCACAGAAAGGTCTTTCTGGGACAGCCTTATGACCAGAGGAGCACAGGGCTGGAGCTAGGAAGACCTGGGCTGGTATCCTGGCTCCACCAGGTGCTGGCTCATCAGCCCCAGCACATCRTTTAATTTTTCATTTGCTCACCCAACAACTGCTGAGCACAAGGTGCTGGGTGTCGGGTGCAAGAAAGTGCAGTTGGAAGTGTATTCACTGAGTCGMAGGAATGACCTTGATGCTGGGACTGTACTAACGGACATCATATGCACCTTGCTGAATCCTAACAGTTGTGTACCTTAACACTTGCAAAGTCCTCTGGTTCTGAGAAGTGGCTTGTTCAAGGTCACACAGCTAGGATACAGTCAAGTTAAGACCAGGGTCTGTGACTCTCTACTTTGCATAGCCCATGAGCCTGATATGAACTTGAGACCATGCAGTAGAAGCTTCTAGCTCAATGTCTGGCACATAAAACCCAACAGAAGATTGGTCCTTCAGATGTTCTAGGATCCCAAAGCACCCTGAACAAGTGTTCAGCTTTCAGGTTTGCTGGTGTCTTTGTGTCCCCTCAGTAGTCAAACAGGGACCCGTGTCTTCTGTTTCTTTGTGTCCCCACCTTCCTGATCCACGCTCTGAGGGGGGGCTCAATTGAACAAGTGAATAGCTGTTCCCCCCACCTACACACCTCTCTGCCTCCWCCAGCTTGGATAGAAACTTCTGATGTGGCTGATCACTAGCTATCCTCCACTACTAATCTCTGTGGATGACCCCCCCCCGTCCTGCCCCCCACACCGGCTTAGCTCACCATGAGGCAAAGTGATACTGGCTCCATCTAAGATGGCCTGAGCCAGCTCATGGTCATTGGCCTCGGCAGCATAGGCAGCAGCCTTGAGGGCATCCCAGATCTCCTTGCGGCCCTCAAAGGCAGGTGCTGTGTCCCAGAATTCATCCCGTTTGCTCCGAAGCTGCCCATCGGTCATGGGGTAGTCGCTCTTCCATTTGAGCCGTTCCTTCTTCAGGGGCTCATTGCGTCCTAGACAGGGCAGAGGGACAGGCTCAGCATCTCTAAAGCCACCTGGGTTACAATTCACCTTCTCACTAGCCCCTCACTTCTTGGGGCCAGGCCCTGGTCTGCCTAACACCCCACAGCACTGGCTCCTTAGTATTTAGGTCTCTGGGCCCCTCCTCAATAGCAGGCAGGAGTCTGGAAACCCAACTTAGGGATATAAGATAAGTTTGTCAGCAAAGTATTTGCAGATGCTCCTCAACTTACAATGAGGTTATGTATGGATAGTTGAAAATATCTGAAGTCAAAAGTGCATCTGTTCACCCAACTTCCTGAACACCACAGCTTAGCCACATACTGTGGAATGTCGGTTGTTTCCCTTTGTGGTCGTGTGGCCCAGTGGGCGCTGCCACTGCCCAGCATGGAGCGTTGCTGGCCAGGGAAAAGCTAAAAATTCAAAATTCAAGGTGTGGGTTCTACTAAATGTGTATCATTTTTGCAGTCTCAGGAAGTAAAAAAAAAAAAAAAAATCTAAGCTGGGAACTTTCTGCACACCTTTGCTTGTCATTGAAGTTTTAATTTTACTCTTTCTTTGAGTATACAGTAATATAAGTTCAGCATAAAAGAAATGTGGAAAGAATGTAGATGTGTAAAAATAGTAACAGCCACCATTTACAGAACCGACATGTGCCAGATCACAGGCTGGGCACTTTGGACTTGYTCTCTTTTTTGCAGCACTGGAGACTGGACCCAGGGCCTTGCACACAACAGGCCAGCATCCTGCCACAGAGCTGCAGCCCCGGTCCTCTTTATTCATTTGACCTTCGCAACAACCCAACAGATTGGGAAACTAAGACTCAGGGTTTGTCATTTGTCTAAGAACACATAGGTTCTGACTTAATGCAAGACTTTGACTCCAAAACCCAGCCTCAGACAACCGAGGGGAAAATTACTCAGAATTCCACCGTTTAGAAGTAATGACTGCTGACACCTACACATGCCTTCCAGCTTCCCTTTCCCCATTTTTTTCAATATAGTTGAGTTTGTATTATTACATTTCTTTTTATCCCTTGTTCCAGAAAGAACTT